CGGGGCTGTGAGCAACCTGATGTGGTTCAAGGTGTCCCTGCTCCTGCAGGGGGGTTGGGCTGGGTGACCTCTGGGGGTCCCTTCCAGCCCAAAACATTCTATGATTCTATGAACTTAATACCGCTTTGAGGTGGGAAGCACATCCTTCGGTGGTGGGGCTGCTTCGGGTGGGGACACCTGACCGCTGTCAGCAGCAGAGGACTTTGTTCTGCCATCGCCTTTGTCGATGTGAGTGGAAATGCACGGTCATGACTGTCGAACTCCTTCCCCCCTGCCCTCCCCCACCCTCTCCCCCCAACAGGCGACGCCTGCAGCTGAACTCCAACCAGGCCTTCTTCCTCCTGGTGAACGGACACAGCATGGTCAGCGTTTCCACGCCCATATCCGAGGTGTACGAGAGCGAGAAGGACGAGGACGGGTTCCTGTACATGGTGTACGCCTCTCAGGAGACTTTCGGAGTGCAATCTTCTGTCTAAGACACGCGAGCGGCTTCTAGCCTAGGATTTTGGTTTACCCTTGGCCATCACCCCCACTCTGCCCCACACACCCCCCAGGGAAAGGAACGGATGTCACCTACGCTCCCAGTACCTTAGCATAGTCTCGCTTTAGCAGGCGTCTCATCTTACCTTGCCGTGTTTGTGACTGTTCAGCAGTCCAGACGAGCACCTCCGGCTTTGAAACCTGCTGTAATATTCCACACAGGCACATTTACATTTCTGGACTCGATGAATGGAACCCAATTGTGCATGTGACAACTGCAAACAAAGGGACACTCGACTGACTTTTTAACAAGCAAACGGGCACCAGGGAGGAGCTGAAGGCTTTCGTGTGACAGTTTTCTGGAAAATCTCCCTATGATTCCTTAAAGCTTTTTTTTTTTTTTTTTTTTTCCTAAAAAAAATAATGGGAAGGCTTCTCATGAGAGAAAACCCGTTTTAACGTTCCAAAGCGGCGCTTTGTCTCCTGCAGCCCGATGAGCCTCGTGTCAGCGCTGCAGTGAGTTAAGGCGAGTGCTTGGGCTGAGCTGGGGGAGTACAACTCTTGTTGTGTCCCTTTTTCTTTTTTTTTTTTTTTTTGGGGGGGGGGGGGGGGCACCGCAAACTCAGGCACGGTGCCAGTTTCTGAAATACTCATACCAAACACCACAGCTTTATCCTAGTTTGAGGAAGGGTTTAACTGTAAAATACACACCTTGGACAGGCAACACCGAAATAAACTCCGGTCTGTCACGAATTTCCAATGCCCGTGCGTCCCGTGGAGCACTGTCATTCGTAGGAGCTCGCTTCCGAAAGATCGTTCCCCGCTAGCCCGGAGGTTTGCCGGTAGCCGAGGGGCTGTGGGGGCGCGCGCAGCCGGCCGCAGAGCGGGCCCGTGCCATCCGAGGCGCGAGCAGCGCCCGTATCCCTCGCCGGGAGGGCGAACGGCTTTGTTTTACGCACCTCCCTACCCCAACACCCCACGCGGACGTGCCGCTGGAGTTACCAACCCGTGTGGCACCCCTCCGGCACGTTCCCACCCGGGGGGGGGTCAGGGAGAACCGCCTTGAGACGCAGCTGACGTCCGGGAGTCGCTGTCGGGAGTCGACGAACAAATTTTATTTTATTTTTTTTTTATCCCCCCCCCTCCCCATCACTAAAATCTCCTGCCACGGGGGCTGGGG